CTGTCAGTATTCTTATTCTTTATTAAAGCAATAAATATTCAGTCATAGTTTCTTTACTGTTTTTCTGTATTTTTTACTTTAATTATTTGTTGCAAGTACATTTTTTACTGTTTTATTCTTTCTAACCCTTTTATTTCTTTTTAATTTTTTGATCATTCAAATATATTTAAAACACTTTTCCCCCCTGTTTATTGTTTTTCTAATAATTTGACTTATACTTTATAATATTCTATAATACCGGCCCAAGTTCTTTCTGCATAGAGTAAGCATGTTCTCCCTGAGCATGCGTGGGTTCTCTCCAGGTACTCTGGCTTCCTCCCACAGTGACATTGAGGGATGTCCCTCCTGGGTCTGTGTCTGGGGTGGTGTTTGTGGCTGGTCCTTAGTCGCGCCCAGTCCCATGCTAATTTTTTTGCCTACCCCCTTTGCACACCGGGGGGTCTGGGGATCTCCTCCTGGGTGTGAGTTCCTGTTCCTCCTGAAGGGATTAGCCCCTCAGACCCAGGAGGACAGTGTATGTATGAGGAGTGGAGTGTCTGCCTCTGTGTGCGTCTCTGTATATGTCCATGTGGGTGTAAGTGTGGGATTGTGTGAATGTGACTGGATTTATGTGAAGCTGTTTCTGTCCACCAGTAAGGTTAAGCATATGCCTTCCTCACCCCACCTACTCAACATCCTAGGCCCCTTCTTAGGCTCCCTCCAGTGACAGGTTCCTGCTGGCGCACTACTGGCCCTCTAGGTGCAGGGGTAGGTACTTCAAGTATCAAGCTGAACCATATGACAACAGTCGTAATGGTCTGCTGGTGAAGCACGCCATTATAATGCTAATTCAAGTACAGTTATTCTTGTTTTTTTTACTTGCTCGGCACCCATTGAAATAACTGATCTATTGGTAATTCTTTCCTCTAATAGAGATTATATTATTATTATCAATTTTATACCTTTCTTAATGCAGGACTTAAACTTTCAGATTTAGAATTAATACCCACTCAGCCTGATATATTTTCCTTGAAACAGTTTGTAAATATATGAACTGCTTTTTGTTTAGGCAATCTAATGTAATCTGAACTGAAACGCATAATGTTACTTTTCCAAGTGTTCAAAAAAAAAAAAAAAAATCTCCAAAGTGTCCATGAAGCATGTGAGAGCTCCCTGTGGGGTCAGCGGGAAATTTCTCAGTGTATTCTCATTATCAGTTCGTATGAAATCGTACGAAAAGTTATGCACAGTATTTCGTACGTTTTTGACGTTTTTTCGTCGTATTTCGTCGTATTTTAACGTCTTGCCTCGAGACGCACCATTCGATAACATACAATTTAACATACAATTAACCCTAATCCTAACATACAAAACAGCAAGCAACCTAGTGAGAGACATCATGAAGTAATTATTGCACTGTCCGTCCCAGCTTTAAGTCCGTCCGTCGATCTGCTTTTTTCGTCCGTCTGGCTGCGCATGCGCACTGATATGCTTTTTCGAGGAAAAACGTCAAAAACGTACGAAATACTGTGCATAACTTTTCGTACGATTTCATACGAACTGATAATGAGAATATGTTGGAATTTCTTGGCCTGAGCAGATGGCTGCTCACACTGAGCCTGGTTCTGCTGGAGGTTTCTTCCTGTTCAAAGGGAGTTTTTCCTCTCCACTGTCGCTACAAGCATGCTAAATGTGAGGGATTGCTGAAGAGTCAATGAGTCGATGCAACTTTGAATCAATCTGATTGGATGATCTGAACTGGAAAGTGACCTGAGATGACATGATGTGAATTGGAGCTATAGAAATAAACTGAATAGAATTGATTTAGCAGCTTGTCTACATTCAAAGCCTCACCTATGGTTATGAGATATCAATAAGGAGCGAAAGAACCAGATCCCTGCTGGAATAAGCTTCCTCCATGAGGATAGACGTCTAATGGAGACATTCCAAAACATTTTTAAATTAATCCACTGGACACCAACTTTGAAGACGTTACTCTTCCCATCCAGGAAGCCTTTTCAATTCAAATGTTAGGAACAGCGTTGAGTTCCTTGAACCATTTTTGTTTTGTTTTTTGGAATGATTATGACCTGTATGACTGCAAACCTTCACCACCAGCATCTAATGAAGACACTTCCTAACTCAGGCTCTGTGGGATTATATCATTTGCTGTTAATTGACCTGCTTCTCTGGGTTGGACACTAACATTAAAAAGTATCTAAATGTAATTTATCAAAAGATAAAATTTCTACATTCAGGCAGAGTTCAGGTCAAACTCCTGAGTTTGTCAGGTAGGAATTATTTATATCCGGTTTGTAGATTAGTGACTAAAAGGAGCCTGTTTGTTCCTATCCATCCTCTGAATGTAGGCCTGCTGTTAAACTAAAACTCGGGTTTGAGTGGCTGGTTGTAAATGATTCGGTTCGTGGCACCGTGGAGTTTCCACTGGCTGTGGGACAGCTGAACCCAGAGCAGAAGACATTTGATAGCTCCATGTTCCGGCCTCTTGGCACCCCCTTCCTGATGTCTTCTAGAGGCGCATCCTGGGGGTGGGTCACTGACTGGACGGGCGCAATGTGACGGGGAGGCAACCTCAGCCGCGGGGGAGGGAGGGAGGGAGGGAGGGATGGTTTAACTATTAGCACCATCAGGCGTTAGGACAGCTGTGCGGAGCCGGTGCAGTGGGCTACATAAGCGGTGCGCAAAGCAGCGGAGTTTCTGCGCACTCAGATCTCCGCTCCTTCATCTGCAGACCTCAGATAGTTTAAGGTAAGCTCTCATTTCATTCAACGGAACAAAGTAGAGAAAGTTTGACTGAGTGAACACGGTGTGCCATTTGGCAACTACAGATCAAACAATCTCCATCGGATTAGAAATAGGAATTGCTGCGTTTCAGAAGAACATGGAAAGAGCTGGAAGCTCCTGGGGGAGCGGCGGTGCCACCGATCCGGGCATCGCAACAGGAAGGCTGGTAGAAGCGAGCAGAGAGAACAGAGCAGGAGGTGCTCTGCTATTCAGCCCTGGGCAGGAGAGCACTAATTTACGCCTTTGCCATGTTGGGTTCGGGCAGCGTTGGTCCTGACTACTAAGCAGAGGATTTTTTCAGCGCGCAAAGCCAACAGGCTGTGCGCGGATGTCGCAACATGCAGTCGGAGGAACGCTGTGAAAAGTCAGAGAGCAGTGAGGCTCTACATTCCTAAACATCTCATCTGCTGATTGATGAAATGACAAAAGGCCCAGAGACATTATCAATCTATACTGGTGGAGAAAAGTTACATATTCTCTATATGACTTTAAAGAAACAACTTGGTTACATTATAAAAAATGTTCAAAAATAACCTGCAGCTTTATAGTGACAGCTGGATAAACTTTGTCAGCCAAGTTTAAGCTCACAGACAGGATTTGCTGAGGCTTCCTGGTTGGTGATGATGTTTTGTTGAGTGCAGACTGACTGGATCACCTGCTTGGAAGAAGCTTTAGCTTCACCTACAGCTGCTCTCTAAAGCAGGCCCTCTTCCTGGGTTCATTGAAGCTTCACATGGGAATTAAAACATAGTTCACAAAATATCTTGATCTGACAAACAAAGTTTTGGTTGCAAATTTTAGAGTTGAGTCTTAGTTAAGAGAAATTCTTATGTAAATCATTGTATCAGTGCTGCATACAACTAGTGCTAGATTACTTAAAACAATGCTGTGTTACATTTTACCCAGTATTAGTGTAATTTGACCTGTTTTAGATTGTTTATCAGGTCTATATTCTTCTTATCAATGCTGTTTTTCAAAAACTCACCTATCTAGCACGATGGGGTCAGATCCATGACTCATTCTATTCTATTTAGTGTATTTCTATAGCTCCAATTCACCTCGTATCATCTCAGGTCACTTTCCAGTTCACCAGATCATCCAGTCAGATTGATTCAAAGTTTTCTATCTAAGGAAAACCAGCTGATTGCATCGACTCATTGACTCTTCAGCAATCCCTCACACTAAGCATGCTTGTAGCGACAGTGGAGAGGAAAAACTCCCTTTGAACAGGAAGAAACCTCCAGCAGAACCAGGCTCAGTGTGAGCGGCCATCTGCTGAGGCCGACTGGGGCTCAAGGAGGCAGAAGCAGACATAGAAAAAGAAGCATAGATACAAAAGGCAACTGTCAACCAGCTCCACAGGCGGCCCCGTCCAGGAAACACACAGCCAGGCAGAAGAGCTCCGAACCAGCTCCCATGTCAGAGGATGAAGAGAGCACATCCAGTTAGTCACAGTCAGAGAAACAGGACTACACTGGAAAACAGGCCAAGCTCCAACATCTAGAAACAAAGGTGTTGATGGCAGCAGCACAGCTGATATTTCTCTCCAGGATGGAGTCACAGCCAAACAGGAACAGACCAGATGAAGCTACTATGAGAAAAAGCAGAGAGAGCAGAACGTTAGAGATTGAAGTAACAGATTCTGCAGAGTGGGAGAATAGAGATAGAATGAAGCAGAATGATGAAAAAGGGGTCCCTATTTCCTCCAGCAGTCGAAGCCTATAGCAGCATAACTGTAGAGATATTTCAGGATAACCTGAGCCACTCTAACTAGAAGCTTTATCAAAATCAAAATCAGACATACTTTAATAAACCCAGAGGGAAATTACTTTTGTTATACGCTCCATATACAAACATTTTTAAATATATATACAGAACAAACCACACAAGACAATATAAATATATACACATATAACACAAAACAGATACAACACTTACCTGATCAGAAAGTTTCTTCAAAGTAGGATTTAATCTAGAGATTTGAATTAAGAACATTTCTTTATAACTGACTCTATAGCTGTGTCTGACTGTCCACCCTAACCCCTGCATGCCTCCACGTAAGCCAAATTCTTGAATGCAACCTGCTGACATTGACATCATTGATGTGTTGGACCAAGGACAGATCTTAATGCTGGTGAAGGTTCTCAGTCATTCGGGTCATAGTCATTCCTAAAAACCTAAAAGTGGTTTGTTTTTTAACTTTTCCAACTCTTTTGAATAACATCTAAATTCACCAAAAAAACAACAAAAAAAACAGAGGGGACGGACTCAGATTTCAGCTTTCAAAACCTACAATGCAGCGATTGAGTTATTTTGTTTTATTTTATTTATTTTCAACAGTTCCCTTTAACGCCCCCCCCCCTTTCAGAGACATAGACAGGTATGGGGCATTGCAGGCTAACAAAGAAGTCAAACCACCCCCATTCCAAAGGAGGGGACCCGTTCATCCGTTTCTATTTGCATGTTTTCTAAACTAAAACCAGGCTTTGTTGGGCTGCTGGATAAAACCAGGAACTCAACACTATTTCTGACATTTGGAATTAAAAATTCCTTCTGGATGGAAGAAAAACGTTTTCAAATTTGGGAAAAAAGTCCAGCGGATTGTTTTTTTAAAAACTTTTCTGGAATGACTATGACCTGGATGACTGAGAATCTTCACCAGCGACACATTTAAAGGTTGCAGAATACTGAGCAATCAGGATCAGGATCTACCCATCCCTGTCCGCTCTCTAAATCATTTAAAACAAACCAACCAAAGCCTTTTGACCTTATGCAAACTGACCAGCCTTTGTTGATCTTTATTAAAAGAGCTACTCAAGCAGTTTTTGTTTGTATATAATGTGCAGATCTCAGAAGCTCTTTGATTTGCTGCTGTCAGTCACTCAGAAAGGCTTTTTAAATGTCTTAAAATGTTCAACAGGAACTCTGGACTTTCACTGCCAAGTTGACAGTCTGGTCAAAGCTGCCTCTTCCACCATCAGCTATTTATTTTTAGCAACCTTTTGCTAATTTGGTACTGGATGAAACTGGTTTCCTTGACATAGTCTCAACTCAACAATCCATAATGTTAGAGATTAACATCTGAACAACCTGAACTTCCATGACACAGACGATTCTTTCTTTAAAGCAGTTAGTTGAACTTGGTGTAACTTTTGTTCTTTTGTTTCTATTCTATAATATTTCTGTTTTAATTCTTTATGCACGGCAGCGTCATTGGTATAAGGCCCTGGTTGGGTGACTCATGATGTTTGAAGAAAAAAAGAACTAACAATGGGCGGTGTTTTTTGTGAAGACTGAATAATTGATCAATGTTTTTTGTGTGTTTTTCTTCAGGTGACTGGGAACTGTGGTTAGGGAGGTGCTTTTCCACAGTAGGTAATTCTATCCTCCAACAGAAGACCTTTAAATATCTTGTCTGAAAAGCTTCCAGCTACCACGTGGCATAAGGGGAGACATTTGCTCTGTGCAGGATTCCACTATCAGTTGACCGACCAGTCGCTGCACAACTCTGGCTTCTTCCGTGTTTCTTCAGCTTGTGCTGAATTTTAAAGGCTGTTTACAATTGCGTGGCGGGGGGGCTATGCAGTGATTCCCCGAGTCTTCTGTTTTCTTTTCTCCTTTGTTTTGATGCGTGATGCCTTTTCTTTTGCCGGCTAACCCCTAGCACCTTGCAGTGAATGGAGAACATACTGGTTCTACTTCCAAAGCACCGACAGGAACACGGGCTCTGCAGAAGCACGGCTGCATGTGCCTTGTGGGAAGATTCCACCTACAGAGCGATTTTTTCTGCTTCCTCATTAGTTCCAACCCACACCCCATGTTAGCCTGTTTAATGGGATAAGTTAACCAGAGAGATCAGGTGTAAAACCAGGTCGAGCAAAGCGTTCCGTTCTGACCTTCCCCAAACCGTTAGTCTAAAACAACTTTTCCTTTTTCTTGTTGAGTACACCGTCTGTAAAAGGCCTCCGCATGGTACGTTGGTCAAAAGAACAAGACAAACTCCCGGACATTGAGATGTCCTCAGGGGACATTGAGATGAAGAAGGAGGGAGGTCCTCTGACCCCAGCCTTCCTCAATTCTAACTGCTCCATCCATCCACTGATCCTCACCAGAGGCCCAGAAGAAGTAAACCAACAAACTGGGGGGGAGTTCGAGCTCACCGAGGTCACATCTTTCACAGAGAGGATTGGCGAGACAGGGGACGACGAAGAAAGGTCGGATATCGTGGTGGCGTTAGACTGTCGGGCCAATGCCAAAGGACAACGCGAGGAGGACGCACTTCTGGAGAATGCAAGCCAGAGCAACGAAAGCGATGACAACAGCATCAATCAGAGCCCGGAGCCACCAGCGCCGCTTAAGGAGACCTCCATTTCCATCGGCCTGCAGGTGGTTTTTCCCTTTCTGCTGGCTGGCTTCGGAACAGTGGCGGCTGGAATGGTGCTGGACATTGTCCAAGTAAGTTACACTAAAACATTAAAACAAAACATTTTGTATAATTAAGAATAATTAGAAAATGTTATTGAAAGATTGATCTCGATCCAGTGTTTTCCATGTGCATGAGAGGTTTTTCCTTGATACTCTGGATTACATTAATCCAAATCACATGACTGCAGATGACCTCTTTAGACGACTCTTTAAATATGCTAATGGTTATAAGTAGTGTGCGTCCGTGTTGTTCTGTGATTTAATAGTGTGCAGTACAGCAAATATAACACAAAAGTACTTGAACAAAAATAATTTAATTTGGTTGCTTAACAGATATATTAATAATGTATGTGTGAGTATACCATAACACTGATTATAGATATAAAATAGCTTCAGTGTGTTTTTATACACTATGTTTTAGGCAGACCTAATGAAGAGAGATTACCACCTGAATATATTTATCACCAGGCTTACCAAAGGCGTGTCACATTGTCACACATCTGTTTAGACCTTATGGTTTATCTAATGTCAGCATTTGGAGACACATGGGTGTTTGGTCTTAACCTGACTCCGCCAGATGGATTTGCTCCGCATATCCATCTGGAAACCTTCCGTTGAAGTAATTTTGGGAAGGGGCGAAAATACTGGTTAGCTGATTGGCCTATGTTGGTGAT